ATGAATAACACGATTTCTGGGAACCTTTTTGTCGGTTAAATTTTTCCCTTAAGAATGCCCAAGTTACCTTTGCCACTTTACGTTTACTTCTGAACAAGAATCCTGGATAATGTACATTATTTAGAAGCTTCAATAAAACTTTATTCAACTATTTGGGCGACTTCAACTTTGGGTTTTTGTTTCTGAGGGAACTAAACAAAAGTTCAATTAACTTATCAATGAACAATGAATGCCAGGCACTTAGGGTCAAAGTCACTAAGCGAATCTTTACGCTTATTTGCATTCAATTCGACGACTTTCAATGGCATGCAAAACAGTGCGTGAATTTGTGCCAAATTTGATTCGCTGGTCGCACATAATTCATGCTTGAGTCAATTTGAATGCCCAATAATAAGCACGAAATGCCACAAGTTCTGTGCTGACTTTTATTGACTTACTTTGGTCTGAGCTTCTTGTGGTGGCGGTTTTCATTTCGGTTATAAATTTATCAAGTGCCAGGCCAATGTGAAGAATTTTCCGAACGTTGTCTGCTGAGCTCGGCCGTCGCAAGCCCCAAATTGGCTTAAGATTCGATTGTCGAGGTCAATCAATAAATTACCGAATTCGGCACGACCCACTGAAGCAGGTATTAATTTAATATCGAATCTGTGTGCTGCCTTGTTATGCGACGGACAACGCGGCGTATGGGTAATGGCAATATAATCAATGCATTGAACTCTGCCGCAGCCTTGGATTCTCCCCACAATCCTTCGGTCATGGCGCATAAATATGCCAACGATACGGTTGCTTTCCGAGTATTTTCCTTTCGGTTCGGATTCATTTCTCTGCTCTTTCGCCATTTTTGCATGTCTGCGACGTGTCTTTGGCCTTGCGCTGATTTAAATTCCTAAAAAGGTCGGAGCAAGTTGCACTGTGGTAATGGAGAAAACAATCACTATTTGAAGACTTTAATTTTAAGAGGTAATGAAAAACAAAAATAAAGAGCAAGGTAAATATTCCTCTGTAAATTTCTGTGTATGCTTTTAATGAGGTTTCCTTGCAGCCACTTTCCACTACATAAGATATCTATTTAATCCACTGTTCTTAAGTATTTTGGCCGCCTTTTGGTGCTCGGCACGTCTTGGAAAGTCAGAGAAACGATGTCTAGCCCGGCTTATAACAGTTCAATGCTTCCAGTTTGATATGGGTTTAATTTGCTTGTTGCATTTGCAGAACCCCGGCGTGTTGCTTACTGCTCCGATTCCCCAGGGAGCCACAACTACAGCTTGCTCCTGACAGCTCGTGGGGATGCGTTGTCCTTTTGGCCAGTGGAAAATTGGACACACCTCGGCACACGCTTATTAGTTGCCCAGCCAAGCTCAGCGTATTAGTGTCAGGTCCAATGCCATGGCATTTGTGTTGCGGCCAGTCAGTCGAGCAGTCCGCACCAGAAGCTAATAGTGAATAGCGATGGCACCACCGCCGATTCCCCTGTCAGTTGCAGGACTCCACTCTCGTCGCTAAGTCGCCTCCCCAAATACTAAATGATGCATATTTCATGGGAATTCCGAGCTGGTTCGTTGGCTCTGCAAAAGTTGCAGTGGGTAGAATCACTCAAAAATGTGCATAGCTGGTGTTCAGTAAATAAAGGTGGTACTTGTTATAATTCAGTAAAGGTTAATTTTAAATTTATGAGGCCGTCAAATAAAAGAGTTTTTGAAAACCAGTAAAACCGTCTTTTATTTGAAACTTCACCTTTTGTAATACCTTTCATCACTGCTTGTGAAGTTGATGGTAAAATGATTTTGATGGTTTCCGTCTGAGTCATTATGGCTTTGTGTTTTCCATTGCGCTTTTTGCCTTTCTTTCAACTCCGGCAGCATATTTAATGAAACTGAAATCCTTCAATCCGCACTCGCCGCATATGGCAATACGGACTGCCTTCGTTTATAAATATTGAAATAGATGTCAATAACATTTTCGGACGCTGTGAGTCCTCAAACCCTCACCTTTCGACCAGCTAGCCCCAGGATAAATGGAGGGCTCACCGAAATTTTGGGCATCGTGCGTGTCGCACCCGAAAATCTGTTAATAATGATGCTTGACATATGTAGGCAGTTGGCCGTAAGTCGAGGGCAAACAAAATGGAAGCCAACCGAAAGCTGGCGCATTTGTGCGTGTGAAATATGTTTTGTCAACTTATTAAATATGCTCGCTTCCCTGCTCCTTTTTCGTTTTTTTTTTTTTTTTTTTTTTTGGAAATTTGTTTTGTCTGCCCTTTTTCCGTTGTGGGTTTCAATACGTGCCGGGGCATTTGAATGGTCGCAATGGAATGGCACAAACAAATGCGGTCTGGTTGGCCGGATCCGGTGGCCCCGGGTCTTATGTGGCTGAATTGATGTTGATGAAATTATAGGGTATGTGGCGGGGCTGAGGGCGTGATTGAGTTCTATCGGCATGGAATTGAAATGAATTATATCAGCAAAATATTTTCTGAAACATTGATGAAGTACGGCATAACAGTTGTGTCATCAAAATGTTTGGGCCGGAGGCGATTTTCATGTGCATAGCTAACATGCAAAAATATGTAAATTTTCTACATTTGAAGCATGTCTGTATTAAAATATCAGGTAAAGTTGATAAAAAAAATAAACGATATATTTTATATCCGTTTGTATAAATCAACTTCCTTTGTTTTGAAAAGGGGCTATAATTATGAGTTATTCATATGTTCAACTACATAATTATAAGATACAAAGGCTATATATTTCTCAAAACCATGATAAGAAACACACCTTAATCGTCATTTAGTCTTGGTAGGGGAAAGTAATGGGGGTGGTGGCTGAAATCATCAACTGAGTAACACATATGGCCAACGGACATTCATCTGAGGGAATGACCAACATTTTAGAGTCCTGTCCGCCTTGCCTCACCATTCAACTCGTATGTTTATTGTCAATTGCAGGCAGCAGGGAAAGCTCTCCGTTCCCAAGCACTTATTTTTATTTAGCCAAAGAAAAATAGAAAAAAACAAAAGCGAACTTAAGATTATTTTGCAAGCCGGTCTAAACATACACTTAAAATTAAAATACTTTTATAAGTGAAAGCTTTCGCTTTGCGTTGTTGAATCTTTATCCATAAAGAGTTGTTTTTTTTTTTACCTCAACCTAAAACAATTAACTCTGTTTGACTAATAGTGCTTTATTTGAGGGTACGGTTTTTCGAATGCCTTCTCAAAATCCTCTCTTGTTAGGGTATTACAATCTTCCTAGAGGAAATAAGAGGGAAAAGATACTTTATCCTTTGGAGACCGACTGCGTGGTGATTGCCGGGCAGAAGGACTGTTGTGTTGGTTCTCCGTTCGGTTGGCTGTATTTACAGGTAAAAACCCCATTGAAATGTGGCCCTGTGTTTTGTTTGGGAACAATCTGCTTTTTGTTTTCGTAGTCTCGTCGGCGCCAAGCAGCACAAAAAAAAAAAAACTCCACAAAAGGCGGAACTTCATTTTAATGGAGTAGACAACGTCGGCAATGGCGACACAAAACGGGCGCCACACTCGATTCTGGTTGGTCCTGCGTAAATGCCACGCCCCCTTTTGCCACATGTAGTGCGTCCTTTCAACGAAATAGTGTGGGTGCCAAGACCCTCGCACATTTTCCGAGCTGTGTTTAATTGTAGCATTAAATTCTACTATTAGCAGGATAATATTCTACGAGCTTTGTTTTATGGTTGGCAATTTGTGTGTGCAATTAAAAATGGTCGAAAATTGAAAAGCGATTATTCCATTATTGGACTTTTTGTAGTATTTTAATAATAACATTTCCTGCTCTAAGTGAATGCGATACAGACAACCAAATTAAAGGATTCGCTGAAATGTCATTTATTTGTCATAGAAAGCACTATTTTCCACACTTTTCCAAAGTAGTTTCAATGGATGGGAAATGGTTTTATTTTGTTGTGTCTTGTAGCTGTGCAATTATAATTTAGATTAAAAGAAACCACTCTCCGTTCCTGTCAATATAAATTGAAATTGCATGCAAATGCTTTTGAACGGGGTCTCGGCATTCCATTGGTATTTTATCGGAATTTCGCTGTGCATTTTGCAGGCCTGATTTCCTTGAGCCAGACTCCTCGCATCGCGTGTGATGCAAATGTAAAAGCCATCCCCCAAAGCCTTCTGATCTCGCTCTTTATGGACGGCTCGAGCGATTGCGACTGGTGTCATTAACAAAGGCCGACTCGGCGAACCACTCGGCAGCGGGTCGACAGCCACCCAAGCCACCCACCCAATACCTGAGCCACCTTAGCCACCCAAAACCACCCAGCCATCCCAGCTATTTTCCAGCCGCGTCAACATAATTGATGAGTTTCGCTCTAAGCAAGAGGCGAATGTCGACATCGGTTTCCCGTGAGCGGTGTTTGTATGTTTGCGGTCACCTCTCCTACACAGACACGCACACAGATACTCACGCACACCCCGAAACTATGCGGGTATATGTGTGTGGGGGAGGGGAAAAGGGGAGAGTGGTGTGCGTTGGTGTTGGTAAATTGGCTTACTTTGTCGACAGCTTAAGTCCCTCGGGTGTTTATTGAAATTTAGTTGAAAATAGCTAAACACTTAAGTTGGCGTTTCGGCCCCATCGGAAGATAAATGATGGATATACACGTGCATTTAGTTTTATTTAAGGACATCTGAAACTTATTGTTGTGTCGTCGTAGAGGGAGATGACATTCTGAAATGGTATTAGATTTATTGAATTTATAGCCAAGAGATTGGGTTGAAGAAATGGGTTATGGGGTTGTGAGAGCCCTTGTGCTAAAATGTAAATCTAAAGGCATTATAAGGAAAAATGTTGAGAATACCGAAAAAAGAAATAACTCCATAAAAAAATATATAAATATATTTTTCAATTAGACATTGGGAAACTAACATTTAAAATATCACTATACATAAATACCATTAAATACAAAATAAAATATGCTTACAATTTTTTATACCTTGCTCTTAATAAAAGGCTTAGTTTTTTGTACAGATAACCAAGATTTTTTATATAACAAATATAACCATAAAAGCACAACATACAATGAACATCCGAAACAAATTACAAGAACTACACATTGCAAATCCGCTCGCCATTTGAATGGGCATGGCATTGTCCACCCTGGGCAACCTTTTCTTTACTTCGCACTTGTGGATCATGGCTCTGCCCATGCTGTCCCCAGCAAAGGATCTCAGCTGCTTGGCCACCTCGATGCCACACAGGAGGGCTGCCCTAGTATAATAGCAGTCCAGGACATCGTTGAAGATGTGGCACACCTTGGTGGCATTCCGACGTTCGTACCAATCCGCCGGAGCCTCGCACTCGATCATGTCCGTACGAAGTTCCCGGATGCAGTTGTGCGACTCCTGGAGTCCAGTGCATCTCTTCCGATTGCTGCCATCGCCACCTTCACAAACCTCCGCTTGGAAGTAGCTCAATCCGTCCGTTAACTTGCCATAAATATTATCCGGAGCCAGAACACAATTACGCATGGAAGATCCTATTTTCCCGAGCACATCCAAGATTTCGGCGCAGGAATCGGTAAGAGAGGGTTGTGCCAGCAGCAGGATGATCCTCTCGGGACTGACTACATAAAGGCGAGCCAACTGCATAAGCACGGGATTATCATCGCAAAGGCGTTTTGATGGTGAGTCTTTGGATCCTGCTGCTGGTTGACAGCCCGCCATGCCTCCAGTCAACTTTGCGGATGAAGACTTGGGTTCATAGCCAGGCGGACAAGTCGATCCTGTCTTGTTCTTCTGACCGCCATGTCGAGCGGAGTGAGGAGCTAGTCCGTAGCGCTGGAAGTACCAGGGAAACCAAATGGACTGACCCAAATCCAAGTTACCAAGCAACTGAAGCAAAAGAAGTAGAGCTTTCCACTTCATGATTCTCTATATTTATGTATAATTCTAGAATTCGAGATTTCTCCATGTGAACTCGGACTTAAAATGTTGATAAACATTTTAAAAAGAGCTCCGAGCAATATCCTCACTATTATTATTTACTTAAAAAAGCTTTTTCTGCAAGTAGCAAACCAACTGCACACAATACCACTTCAGGGGAAATCATAATCGCAAAAGCACACCTTATAATGTCCAATAAGCTTATGCATCGGAGATTTCATCCAGGTTCTCTTTCTCCATTCGACAAGGCATCCGTTTCATTCTTTGCGAAATTATCACAGAAATTGCACAAAGCAACCACTCTTGCCTCCGCACAGCTGACACAATAAATTGTTAAATTTAAAATGAAATCCTTGCCTTTTATTCTGTCCATTGGGATCTCGGCGCCACTTAGTCCCCATCCAAAATGGACTCGCTTCGAGGGGAATTCTTTATCAAAGCGCACACCTTGAAGGACTCGCCTTTCTGTCTTATTTTTTTTTGTGTGGAAGTTGCGGGGTATATATGTGCCGAGTGAATTTTATTAGCACTCATAAGTTGTAAAGTGTATGGGCAAAAGGCAAGCTGAGACAGAACAAGATGATTTCGCAGGATCTCTCCCTTCGCTGTGGCAGACTTTTGTGCGTTTGCCGCACTTCATGTTAAACAGATTTTTATTGCATTTTTTTATTTGCCTCGACTTCCTCTCACTATGAAATTTACTTTGTCGCTCATTTCGCCTGCCTTTGCTTTCTTTTTATTATTAAACATTTCGCCGCTGGAGGAAATGAAATATTTTTGCATGTAAAAACCATTCGACTTCATGCTGTGACAATGTTTTCGCGCTGTTTATGTGGACGCTGCCCTCGCCGGAGTTGCTCTTTTTATTTTATTGTATTTTATATTTCTGTTCATTTCCGTCACGTAATAAAATAACAAGGTAAATATGCAAAGAGCAACAATTTAAGCGCATCATAAATAAAAAAAGGGGCTTCGCATTCCCAAGGACTCCGCAGGACTTCATCACACCTTCATTGTCTTCGTCGAGCAGAGGGATTCGAATTCCCTCTCCTGTCCGGAATAACTTCATTAGGCATTCCAGATCATTAATCTTTGGCTTCGGGCTTATAACAGATTGTAATGTGTCCTGGACAGGACCAACAACAATTAACTGACCGACGACGAGGGGAATAAGTGTGCGAGTGTGTCCTGGGCATTATCTAATCCAGTCAATGGCGAAATTATGTCATTAGCTTCAGCCGTGTTCAAATTTGCCCAATGAACTGTGTTAAATTTTCTGACTAATTGCTTCTGTATGTGTATGTCCTGTTCAGGACGCTATTGGCAAATTGTTGTCCGCCACAAAGCAACTACAAAAATTCTGAATAAAATAAGCCACAGAACGTATAAAAATTAATTGGTTTTTGATGTGCCGGGAAGGGAAACGAGATGAAGAGACCGAAAGTTGAAGCTTAATCATAGTGATTGGTTGTGAATCAAAGAGCCGCAAGTAAAAATTCAGAAATGCAAAGATTGTGGCTTTAGTTGAAGGCCAGTACGATTTAATACTCAACCAGGTTGTGTAGCTTAATATTTAAAAACATGAAAACTGTTGCTTGAAATGTACAATCATTTTTAACTATTTATGAAACGTATAACAACTTTTTTGAAAATAAATGTGTGTTAACTCATAGTCAAAGGTCACAGGTATCTCTTGATTTAACGCTACTGTTTGCTCTCAACGGATGATGCGAATTATTCAATCAGAAAAAAGTAAAAACCAACACTCTATTGATGCATTTTTGCATGATCTGCCAGGAAGAGTTTGCCCAATGGCATAAACTTATTGCATTTTAAGTGCATAATTTTGCACATAATTTAATGCAATTAATTGAACATTAAAAATTGAACAGCGAAATAACAAAAATGAAAACAAATGGCCGGAAATTTTAAAGCATAAAAAAATACTTAATGAAAGTCACTCACACGCGGGTTGCACGTGGAGATATCTGCATGATTGTTTGTTTGCTGCCGCGTCGGCGAGCATAATTAAAATGTCAAACACGGCATAAATCATTTTCCAGTTAATGTTAATGCACTTACGCCTGGACCTCTGCTAAATTTTTAATTGCATTTTCATTAAAATCAATAAAAAGCTAGCGACTTCTGCAACCAGAAGGGCTCCAGGGAGTACGGAAAAAAGGACTCTATCAAAACTATGCTTAACTACCAAGTGCACTATGGCAAACCCCGAAAAAAGTTGTGAAAACAGAATCGAATAAAAATGACACTTAATTTCGCTTCGACTGAACTTTTTAGCCAGCTTCCAGGTGCGGCGGCGGCGGCGGCGGCGGCGGCAGCAGCTTCCAAATGAAAACCTAATGAAAAAGCCAACAAAGTAGGGCCATTTTGGGCGGCGTCCGGGCGACTGGCAAATGGGTAAATGGAAATTAGATTGCCTGGCGCCTTGGCTTGGTCACCCGTCGTCCGTCCGCCAGACAACAACTTGATACAACTTTCGCAGGCGAAGCTTCCCAGGGTCCCCGTGGCCAACCCATTGGGGACTCCAACTGCCGGCATAACTAGTTCAAGTCGCTTCCAGTAATTATAAATTTACCTAGGGAATTACCAGGGCCCCTTGAGTGCCCATCCAAGGGAGCCGAGGTGAGTTTGGGTTTGGTTAAAACTTCTGAGTGCGGCTAGTGCAGCCAGCTGAACAGAATGCGAACAGATGAGAAGAGAAGAGAACCTAACTAACTGCCTCGCTTCAAGTAATAATATTATTGATAGATTACGGTGCGCCTCGAGTGGGTTTGTTTTTCGATGACGGTGCCCCGGAATGGGGTTAAGTATTTTAATGCCGTAGCTAACAAAGTTGATCCGAAAGTCTGTTTGCACTGCAGTTTGCCGAGTGGCTGTCATGCCAAAGGTAAAAACTAGTTTAGACATTTGTTGGAGCATCGCGAAAGAGCGGCTGCAAATGGTTGGTCCTAGCTAATTAATTAAAAAACATTGAAACTACGCTCGGGGAAACGTCTGTAAAGTCAGAGATGAGCTTAAATAAACTCCTTAGTCGTATATATTTTATAGTCATTAAAAACCAACAAACTATACCATCATATAAAATTCCCCAATTCAACTTGAGTCTTGCCAAACAGCGAATCCTCTGCAACCACATCTTAAAGCCCACGTACAAATTAGAAAAGGCGTCAGAAGGTACAGCTTTCGACCTTTCCTTCTGACCAAAAAAATAGGCCGAATTGAAAGCGGCAAAAGCAAACGCAGAAGTAAAAGGTGTTAAGATCCCAGAAAATCCTTATGGACTTTGAGCCAAGTCTTAGGTGGGTCATGCTGTTTCGGTTTTGCTTCCTCAATCCCCGAATTTCGTTTTGGTTATTCGCTTCCATTGTCTTTTCGGGGAAAAAATGCCGAAAAGAAATCTTAGAAAAAGTGGTGAAAGAAGAGTTGTTAAAGGAAAGCCGAGAACAATGAAAAGTACAATATTCTTAAAGTGCAAAATGCTCCTCGTTCTTTAGTTTTTTCATCGGAATGAACTAGATTTTGAAAACGACAAGCTGCGTGTTGCATTGTTTCGTTAATTAACAGGGGTCTTAATAAAAATTGCATAAATAAGTAGAGTGTATTTTTCTATAGAAAGAGTAAGGTGTAAAATGCAATGAAGTGACGATAGCTTTTTGTGCTGGTAGAAACGAATAATTATTATTGTAATAAAAAATGAAACTAAATTATATCAAGCTTTTTAGGCTTGGTTTATTAAATTACTTTAAATTTTTTTTAGGATTTTTAATCCATTTGCTGCTAATCGGACATTTAAATGACTTAAAAGTGGTCTAGTCTTCGGTTTATCAGCGACGACAGACCATAAGCGCGCTTTCGCTGAAACTTTTACCTAAATTACAATCACTTAGAACACTTTTAGCAGACATTATGCACTCATTTTAGACTTCCGTCTAATTTACATGCTATTTAAATTATGCTGCTGCTCCGGCAGATCCTGCAAGGAGCAGGGCCACCCAGCGAAAGCCCGCACCCAATATACATATAAAGCAGCTTCATCAAAATGCCTGTCTGCCACGGCATCCTCACCCCCTTCTCCCCCCTCTTCGACCCACAGCCCCCTTTGCCGCCTTTGCCATCATGGATGCTGTTCAAACTTGCAGCAGCTGCCGCAGCTACTTTGTAAAAACTTTTGTATGGCATGCAGCGCCAGAGGGATCCGCATCCTGAAGGACGAGAGGCGGGCAGCCGCATCCTTTGGATCGCCTTGCTTAGCATCTCCAACTGCATAAAATTCTGCCCAATATAATTTAAAGAGCACACCCAAGTGGCCTTTACTACTCCTTCGTCCTCGCCGCTCCAGCTACACACCTATATCCTTTCCCTCTATCTGTCTGTAAGCTTTCGCAATAAAAATGAATTAAATGCAATGAAGCAGCAGCCAGCACAGAAAAGAACATTTCGATTCTCCAGTTTTTATGCCCATGAAATTTTTAAATTAAAATATGATAGAAACTAGCAAGAAAAAATAAATTCGTTACTTCTTCTAAAAGAACTAGAAAAAAACTTACGTAAAAAATTTTGCATAAATTGCATAATAATTTAATTGCGGATTTATTGAAACGTTTAAAATTATTTTTCAATAAATTTAATGGATGAATTTTTTTTGAATCAGGAGACCCCATTGTTTTATTGATATGTTTAACGTTGAAAATACCATTTTAATTTTTTTACACAAAATCTATTTGTATTTTTTGTATTTCAGATTTTTTTCAAGTGCAACGTCTCCTTTTCCCACATTCTCAGCCGGCGCCTCGGGCGCGCAAATTGTTGCAACAAAGTGGAAAGTGGAAAGAGTCGAGCAACTGGTGTCAGTTATTGTTGGGACAGCCAGGTGAGGTGGGAGTTCCGCTGGAGGATTCGTTAACTGCCACGCCCACGCAACCGCCAAACGCCCCTTGTTGCTGCATTTAATGGCAATTTGTAGTCGAAGGCGACGGTTGCATGCAAATTTGTGGCT